GGGTATATCATGTATATACACCCCTGTACATAGATATCTAATAATGATAATCACCTAGTGTGAGTAAGGTCACGTGTAGTAGGGTATATCATGTATACACACCCCTGTACATAGATATCTAATAATGATAATCACCTAGTGTGAGTAAGTTCACGTGTAGATATCTAATAAGGATAACCACGTAGTGTGAGTAAGGTCACGTGTAGTAGGGTATATCATGTATACACACCCCTGTACATAGATATCTAATAATGATAATCACCTCATGCGAGTAAGTGCACGTGGGGTGGGGGCGTAAAGTGGTGGGCCTTAAGCAGTGCACTCGCCATCTTCAAGGAATATATCATCCAAGGCTACGTCACTGTAAAAGCCGCTTCCCCTGATGACTTCGAACACAACCTGTTTGTAAGATGTTAAGAATACAAGATGTTGAATCTGGTTAGTGGTTTTGACGAGCAGGACATATCGTATGCAAACGGGTGGGGCGCAGCAGTAGATGAGTACAGATGAAGGGAAGCGCAATGCTTGGAGCAAAAGTACAGTGCATTCTTTATAAAGCGCCCTGATCAAAACAACAATCTTGATATGAATAAATACTCTAATATTGAGCGATATATTTGGTTGAAGGATCTATTCCTATAATTATAACATGAATACCTAATGGTGCCTTATAATCTTACGTGCATATCAGTTGTTGAATATCTCTCACAATCAATGTAAACGTTAGGCTATCGAACAGCGTTTGTTCTAAGTGACCAGGTTGCTATCTAGACCTCGCTCACCAAAATGAGTTCAGGTAGCGCAGTTGGACATGGGTTCGAATCCCGCCTGGGGCTCGGAATTCTTTCCGAGAAAATGTGCCTGATGAAATACAATTTCTTAAATACCTTATAATCATTAGGGCTTGTAACAGTTGCACTTGCTCTATACCACTTCTGTCCCTGGTTACCGCTCTTCGTAAAAATCATATTCTTTGTTCCTGTGTGGTTATCTATTACATAGACTTTCAAAGACCCCATGGTTGATCCATACATGTGGTATGCAAACTGAAGACATCCAGAATTAACGGTAAATGCCGGACTTCGAAGCTCTGTTGACGCATTTGCCGCTGGACCCGTAGCCTCAGCGTAGACGTAAAAACCTTAAACAATAATTAATATTTGCCTTTCATGAACTGTGTTGGCAAAAAAATGAGTCATACAACAGAAGGTGTGCAGCTTAATAAACCTTTTCGGCTTGGGCCTAATAGTTCAGACCACGACGTTCGAGATTGTCTTCATGACGTTGACTTTACGGAATCTACTGTTCATTCATTGCCAAAAATTATAAAATCTTACGGAAAGCATAAAGTGAATACATGTATCATTATATCATGATGGTCGTAAACATCCAGCTGGAATATCAAGACCGATGGAACTGGATTCCTAAACCGCCATTTTGCCTGGCATAGCAACGTTGTATTGTCTCCGACGCGCAGTGCATTTTGGTTTACTAGGATTCTTTAACAGATATGGAAGCTTAAGTATCATTTCTAACCTGCTTTGCTCAAATCTTTTGTCGTATCACCATCAGGACCAGTATCTACGCTGGTTGTGGATCCTTTCTTACGGTTCCACTTGTAGGCGTTTAGTGGGTCGGTTGTCCACATGCACATATCGGTTTCAAAGTCACAATATCCAGGATTACCTAAAGAGAGAGATAAAGGGAGAGATTATTTATCATTTTTTGTCGATGTTTTTTTACCAATTCAATGATAATTACGAAAAACGTTGTGATACTAAAAATTAGAAATAATAAGGGATAATCAGAATTCGAATATTGGATAAGATGTTCTTTTGAATAATTAGCCTTCGTTTTGTCTAATGTATCCTTGTCTTTTGCGTGACGTCATCAAATAAATAAAACTCAAAATATTCACTCCACGAAACGTTTTGGTATATATGTTGTTTATTCCCACATAAGGAAAGCTTTACCAAAATAATTTTGTATTATCGATTTTTGGTTTTCGATTTATCACGAGTCAAATTCTGTCACGCAATTCTGTCACGTACTTTCAAAGCATTAGAAACGGGGAAATTTGATTGAAATAATAAGTTTTTAACTTAGTAGTAGATGATTGGTAAATTCATTTCGATGACTATAATTATTAATTTTGAAGTGGACATATCATAAACATGATTTTCAACCTTCGTGATTTGGCCGCCATCTTTGTGGACCTCAATGGGACACAAAGATGGCGAACCTATACATTTTATCTAAATTATGAGTATAACTTCTTTTAGCTAGAAAATTGGCAGAGTTATGTAGTTTGTATTGCTCTTTCGGTCTATTCTCGACTTTCACATCCCCATAATGCCTTGCGTTTTTGGGGGGTAACCAATCAAAAAACTGTCCCAAATTGAAAGGTTTCTTAATTGAATTTATACTATACCTGCTTTTATCTGTACAATACTGATTATCAGTCTATTTCAAGTTATTTTGCGTGTACAGATCATGAAGAGTTTTGGTCTTACAGAAAACGTATTGACTTACGAAAAAATATTTAAAAATTTACCTTAAACGTCTTCAGGCGTCTATCTTTTTCTGTTTTTTACTTCTTCATTTTATATTTGGATACCAAACAAGGTATTGTCAACATTGTCTGATCAGCCTTCAGCAAAATAAGTGGGTTTTTACCCTCTGGTTACCCGCCAAAGACGCAATTATGGATTATGGGGATGTGAAAGTCGAGAATGGAAAATTTAAGTATAATGTAAGTCTTGGGAAAATTTTCGAGGACGTAGGTGAAGAGTTCCCATAACATTTCCGAAGGAATGATAAAGTCGATATTTGAATAATAAAATCAGTTATTACGAGTAAGCCAAAGCAGTTTTGACTGTGAATAAACAATATAGCGTTTGACGTTTGTATGTCAATGGCAAGATCAATTTACCAAATGTGTAAGGCCTAGGGCAAACGTCGAACTTTCCATGCACCGAACTCATTGAACAATGGATATCAGGTGATAATGAGGCGGCATTCTTTGATGTAATTAAGTTCGGTGCATGGAAAGTTCGACCTTTGCTCTAGGCCTAAAACCTTTATCATATATAATCACTTATCAACTTCCAGCAAGTAAAGAAGTTTTTATTCAGGGTTGTTCATTACCATAGAGTTTTAAAAACATGCATTTTCTAGTTAATTCTTTTTAGCCAGTTGTTATGAATTGCTTTAGAAATGGGATGAAAACATCGATTTGTACCTCACACTGTGTGAGAAATTCCGCCACACAGGTTTTGGATGAGGTTTGATTTAAGAATAGCATGTGTTACGGAAGGTGTTGATTTCGATTTCATGAGCCACAAGTGAGTGATTCATATTAAATGATATGAAATCTTCCATAAAAAGAAATCTTCCAATAGTCAAATTCACTTCCAAAATGGCGGATATGACGTCATGTGCAAACGAAAAATAGTCGTGTAATTTGTAGGCATGGACTTTTAAATGATAAAATAATAATACTAATTTCAAATTTGATTAGTACTCACCAGTTTCACAGTTTTTACCAAGAGTGCTTTTCGTACATTGACAGCGATATTCCTGTTTGTTGTTCTGAAGGATACAGGTGCCTCCATTAAGGCAAGGTTGTGGTTCACAAGGACTCTATGAAAAATAGAATTACCGATAAATAACTTAACTATTTTATATTTTTAGTTCTGCATGAAGAAAAATATAAAAATGCTTGTAGTTAAAGAACGAACGAACGAACGAACGAACGAACGAACGAACGAACGAACGAACGANACGAACGAACGAACGAACGAACGAACGAACGAACGAACGAACGAACGAACGAACGAACGAACGAACGAACGAACGAACGAACGAACGAACGAACGAGCGAGCGAGCGAACGAAAGAAAGAAAGAAAGAAAGAAAGAACTTTAGTGACATTGACATTGACATCACATTTAATTCTTCAAATCTGTATTCTTTTAAACAATAAAGATTTCACCTTTCCTATAGAAAACAGTTCAACCGAAAAACATTGATAGTTGCGAAAAATTTGTCGCATATTTAAAAAAGGGATTATACTTTGTATTTGATGGTGCAAAGCATCCCCAAGAGTGTCAAAAGACTGAAACATGGCGTCTATTGTGATGCCGTTAACAATGGAAGCTAGTGAGAAGTATTTTGTTAAATGACACCAACATGACTGTGGTGACGTAACGTGAAAAAGAAGAATTGACTGGAATAATGCAGTTAATAAAAGATAGTGATGACTTATGCAGTACCAAAGAAAATAACATTTTGCTATAATAATAAAAAAATCTTAGAGTTTGAACTACACCGCCAACGTTCCTTGCGGAATCTGTGATCCGTCTGGTTGAAATATCGTTTGCCTTATTTAGATTGTGATAAATATTTTTTTACAGAGATTGAATAAAATATTCACTTGACTTGACTTTCTCTCTATTCACAATTTTCTTTCTCATTAATGATACATATTAATGTCTAAGACTTTCAAACAGGTTTTACGAAAATTCGAACCCACAATCTAGGTATAATTTCAACGCTTTCCTTTTCATGACGACCTCTCATTTGGGAATCGTGACATTCCGACAAGATCCGTAAGGTTCTCAAACTCATTTTACATCTAAATTAGTTCAAGTTGTTAGGTGAACAGAAGAAAAAGGGTGTATTTTAGTACCTTGTTATGTTAGTTTTCGAGAATGAAAAACACTTGCAGAAATTCCTAAATTGCATGACATTTTCACCTCACCAAAAATATTACTCATCTTTTCGTACTATGAAGAATTCACTTGTAAGTTTGGTTAGAAGTGGGCTTACCTTCATGCTGAAATGAGTAAATGCGTTGTTTTGTACCATGTTCTGCGGGTGAGTATATTTATCGGTTGATAACAGCTCACATACGTGAAGTCCATTATTCTGGGCTGTGGTTTGAAAGTTCATCGATAGACACCAAGGAACCTCAAGGCACGTAAAGACACAATCCATTTTATTATGAACTTGAGAGGTTTGTTTCTGGATGTCTTTGTCGTTTATGGAAAAGGACAAAATGGAGCCAGGAAAAGCACTAAACAAGAATTCATCATGTTTGTTCATATGGCCGTTGTGTTCAATACATTTGCTGTGGTATATTGCACACAACGACAGTACTACAGTAAGCCATGTCATGGCTAAGCAATCCTTCGTACTCGAAGGAACGATCTAAAATGACTAAAGCTGATAGGTAACCAGTTTTGTCCCTAGTGATGATTAAGCACAGTATTAGCTATTCAGACGTAAGCGGTATTGATCAACTCACCACGCTAGTAAGATGCCATCAGTTGTTCATGTTATAGAAACAAATATCTAGTGGCAACGAAGGCCCTAAAATATTGAGATTTTACCATGTTTCGACTAGCTATACAAGTCTCTAGACAGACGTACCAGGCACATGTTGGGTTTCCTGGGTTATCGTTGGACTCCTGTGGCGGAGTATGTATGATATTATTATAATACACTCGACATTATTACTCGATTCTGATTGGACAAGAGGAGTACAATTAAATCGTTATTGTACTCTGTAGAGTCCCAATTAAGTTGCTCAATTTTGTTGAGTGTATCACAAACAAAAAATCTTTTCATACAAATTTGAATTTATAGATACTCGTGATGTTTTCTGAAAGTTTTCAAATTGAACTTGCCTAAAAGCTCGTCCAATTTTGAAAACTTAGATAACATCTCTCGTACCTATAAATTCCGAATTGTACTCGAGATCGGTCGATGTCCTATACCATAATTTCGAATTATCGAGTAATTTCCAGTAGCTTCGAGATACGAAAATGAATGTCAAAATAAACTTTGTTCATTCAATTTATGGAATATGAATGTTACGCAATCGTCCGATGCGTTTTATGTTATGTTTTTAAAATGTAGTGAGTGCCTTGAATCATAGTCCCTTTCACCAGTTCCCTACGCCATCTTGAAAGGTAGCCGTTCCTTTGCTGTGAGCTTTCAATGATATGATATGATTTACCTAGACATGAGTAAGGCGTTCAACAAAGTTGACCACACCCTTTTGCTTAACAAGTTACGCCACTTAACATTAGCTGGCAGTTTACACGACTGGTTCCGATCATACCTAAGTACCATCCTCGGCTTTACTTCGCAAGAACTCCCAGTAACATCAGGAGTGCCACAAGGGTCCATCCTTGGACCGCTGCTATTCTTATTATTTGTTAACGACTTACCTGATGTTACCAATTCATTAAGTATTGCCTGTTATGCATGACAGACAGCGCATTACCTAGTGCATTACCAACTATGCTAATAATGAACTCGATAGTTTTGGGTTGATTTCATATTTTATTGTGTTTTCCTTATAGTTTGATCAATAATTATTTGTGAAAACGTTCAAAATCTAAACATTGCTAAATGGGCTTCTACTTTTTTTGTAGTTAAAGTAATGTTCTTTTCTATAATTCAGCTACAATTAAGTCTAGTCAATTAGCTAGTCAATCAACGGCATGAGTATCCTATAAATGATTCATTTTTTCACATTTTCAAATCATCTTTAGTCAGGCCCCGTCCACACGTATCCAGAAATTTGTGTATCCGCAATTGTTTTTTTGCGGATACGGGTTGCGTCCACACGTGTACGGAAATTTTTGTGTCCGTATCCGCAAATTTTACGAAAACGGATACGTGTGGACGGTGAAAACGATTCGAATACGCTGCGTGTGGACGCAAACATTTTAGTATCCTCAAAAAGTAATTTGCGGATACAAAAATTTCCGGATACGTGTGGACGGGGCCTCAGATTGGCAATAACAAATATCCATTTGTCAAATAAACGATCAAACAATTACTTGTAGTCAATGAACACTACTTTGCATTTTAGTACAAGTTAATTTTACAGTTTTTTGCAATTGAAAGTGTTTCATTCGAAATCGATGTCAATGCATTCTTTGTCATTGCTCTGTAATTTCACGTTGCTCCTTCGTTGCTACTTGAGATAGTAGAGGTACTTGAGGTAGTGCTCTGTAATCCGGGGGGCTTATATAGTAAATGAAGTGTTTGGTATACCACTTTCAAATCGACATAATAAGTCTAATGAATCATTGTTTTCAGACTTCCATGTTTCATTGTGCGGATCAATTATAGCTAAAACTAATGTTATTTTTTTGTAGTCATTCATCACTCATCATTCAAAACTCGTGCTTCGTGTTTCATCAGGGGACTCCAAATACCTCGAACAGATGAAAGTACTGCGGCCTTGCGCTTTCATCAGTTTCTCGGTATTTGGATCCCCTGATGAAACACTCGCACTCGTATTTGATCTATTACTTCTTTAACTTAAACAATTGATGGCATCTAATTAGCGTGGTGAGTTGATCAATACCGCTTATGTCTGAATAACTAATAAATGTTTAATCATCACTAGGGATAAAACGGGTTACCTATAACAGTTTTAGTCATTTTAGATCGTTGTCTTCGAGTAAGAAGGATCCTTATCTCACTTTTGCCATGACTTGGATTACTATAGTACTATTGATATGTGCAATATACCACAGCAAATGTATTGAACACAACGACCATATGAACAAACATGATGAATTCCTGTTTAGTGCTTTTCCTGGCTCCATTTTGTCCTTTTCCATAAACGACAAAGACATCCAGAAACAAACCGCTCAAGTTCATAATAAAATGGATTGTGTCTTTACGTGCCTTGAGGTTCCTTGGTGTCAATCAATGAACTTTCAAACCACAGCCCAGAATAATGGACTTCACGTATGTGAGCTGTTATCAACCGATAAATATACTCACCCGAAGAACATGATACAAAACAACGCATTTACTCATTTCAGCATGAAGGTAAGCCCACTTCTGTAGTTATCGGAAAGACGACATAAAAAAAGAGATACGTAGGCTCTCTGCTTTCATTTTACATTGAATTTTAAAGCAATGAAAAGTGTCCTCATAGAATAAGGATACGATCAAGACCACTTTATGGGGGAGCTGAATCTTTCGCTGCCTTTAGTATCAATATAAATTTTTAATGTCTGTATTTTTATTAGCTGTTGGCTTTCAGTTTAACTTCGCAAGTTGAGCTGCACTATTGCCGTATTTACGAAGTTGAATGGCGCTAAAAAGTTTCTTTTCAAAACTTCTATTTATTATACATGATTACTTTTCCAGTGCCAAAAACGTTTCCATTTTCAAATTACTTAAATTTGATTCCCCCCCCGTAGTTTAGTACAGTGCAGATGTGTTATTCCACAGCGTGTTTGTTACTAGGGCACCACTATCACTCCTCTTATGATAGGGTTTTTTTTTTCTTTTTTTGTCTAAATGTAGTTTATATGTATGTACATGTATCTTGTCTCAGGCTGAGCTCGCGTGAACTTCGAGTCTTTTCCCAGCCTGTGCAATGTTACTAAAAGTAAATAAATAAGAAAAAATGATAATAATAATAGCAGTCTTTACATAGTAGAGTTTTACCATATTTGGGTTGTTTTTCGCGCTGAAATCTATTGTTAATGTTTCAAAGCAACACAATAGCACTACCGAGAGTTTATAAAGATATTTGTCGGTCTGAAGTGCCTTTATTTCATTCAAATATGTAGATATATATATAAAAAAAAGAAAGAAAGAAAAAAAAAAAAAGAAAGTAAAAGAAAAAAAGAAAAAAACCCGATTTAATTCGTATGAAGGTATAAATAATACATAATATATTAGCTTTATTATAATAGTTTATAAGAAACTTTCCATCCACGAACTAGACTTAGATAATATCAGGGAACGAGCTCTTGTCTTCATTTAGGAAGCATAACATTTCAAATTAGAACAAAGGCTTTAAGTGTCAAGTCAAACGTCGAACTTCACATGAGCCCAACCAAATTGAAACAATGGATAACAAGGCGGTCTTCTTTGATGTTAATAAGTTTGGTTTATGTGAAGCTCGACGTTTGATCTGAGCCTAAATCCATTTACCCTTTTTTACTGCGAAGAAAAGTTTTTTTCTGTGCCGAAAGGCGCGTTAACACCGAGCAATTTTCTCTGCAACTTGCCTGGCAAAAGTGACCGCACATGAGTGTTTACACAGTGCAATGGAGGCGCAAACGACAGCTGCAACTTGTCTCGCAACATTTTTTCAACCTGCGCTGTAGGTTACACGCTGCAATTCTCCATGCAACTCATTGTGTCGCGAGAAAACACTCAGAAATTCCTAAACATTTCTGTCATCTTCACCTCACTAAGAAATGTCATGCTTTTCCCCAGAAAACTGGTTACATAGTTTGTGATATATATATCAAGATAGCCGAATTTCGCGCTTCGTTTTAAATATCAATTCAGAATATGTCTGTCTCCGAACAAACACAAAAAAGGTTCCTACGAAGATTTTAAGTAAAAAAAAAAAAAAAAACGTTCTGGCTTATTCAGAATACATCCGATCGAACTGTAACATTGTATATTGATAAATCACTGCACGATTATAAAACGTTATATCTCAGGTTTCTTAAATGGCTTTTCATTCTGAGATATTGCCTATTTTACTATAACAACCATCGAAAACTTAAAGATTCCGTCCGGGTTTAATGGATATAAGAGGCATGATCTTTTCATTTCGTTCCAAAACAGATGACTCCATGCTCTTATTGGATTTTTGAAAACTACGTTCGTCAACTTCACGTTTTGGCGCCAAAAATTTCTTGGTTTAAAAGAATTAGATTCCAATATCTCGGCAACTGCTGATATATGTCACCAAGTTCAAACTTCGGTTGGTGATTCTGAATGTTCAATAATATCTGCAGCTACAAGACTTGCCCTGCATGCCAAACTGAACTAAACATTGTTAAGAAGTTCGATGATATTATCACCTTCAACAGAGGACTAGTATCCACAACATAACATAGTCCAAGCAGAGGTTAATTAATTTTTTTGAGAGTATATCATTCCACTCAATATACATGATACATAATCCCCTTACATATATACTACAAGTTTACATTGTTTTTGCGCTAGTGTTTTCGTTTTAAAAGGAAACATCTTTATTGCTGTGAATTTTAATGAATAAGACAATAATTTTTTTATACAAAGCGGGGAAGATTTAAATAACACTGAGGTCAGCATCACAACGTATTTTGAAGAATTTTTTATCTCATTTCTTTCTTTCTTTCCTTTTCTTTTCTTCTTCTTTCTTCATTCTTCTTTTACTAGGAGAATTTATCTCTTTTTATTCCTACAGAACCAAAAATATAAGTATTTATTAAGTATTTATGGATACTTTTTTAAAAAATAGAATCCTTGTGAGCAACAATCTTGTCATAATGGTGGCACCTGTATCCTTCAGAACAACAGACAGGAATATCGCTGTCAATGTACGAAACGCTTCGGCGGTACAAATTGCCTAAATGGTGAGTCCTAATATAACAAAACTTTGAAATTGTTATTCAATCATTATTCCGATCAATATTTTACAATCAAGTGCCGATACACATTGCATATTACACGACTATTTTTCGTTTGCGCTGGAAGATCATAGACTTCATTTGGAACAATTTAACAAAATTTTTCTTATTTTTCTTATGAATGCACTCAGGGCCGTAACCGGAACTTTTACAGGGAGGGTGCACATCGAATAAAATCGGACCTTTGATCGGTTTTATTACCAACACTCGTGTTATGAGTTACAATTCAAAAACCTTCTAAGCCAAAATTCAACGCAACAAATAGAACTGATTTGCTCCAAGCGTGTGGTTCTCACACAGTGTGAGGTACAAATTGATGTTTTCATCTCATTTCTAAAGCAATTCATGACAACTGGCTAAAAAGAATGAACTAGAAAATGTATGTTTTTAAAACTCTATGGTAATGAACACCCCTGAATGAAAACTTTTTTACTTGAGGCACAAACGATCTGCAGCGCTGGAGTGGATAAGAGCCAATAGGAAATGTTTACGCTATTCTAGTTTGTAAAAACTGATATTGGCAAACGTTATATTTTTGATCAAATTTTCTTGATTTTTTACAATCAAAACGGTTGTCCATTATATTACTTATTTCATTATTCAAGTATTCATTTTATTATTCCTTCAGACATGTTCTGGCGCAGGTATCCCATGCAAGCGCAGAGTTAGTGAAATGAGGTTACTGAATTAATAGAATGAGATGACTGTTAGTTCATTTTGAAGGCTTAAAAAATCTTCTTCAGAAAATGTTCACTAGAATAATTAGAAAGCTCCAAAAGACTCAAAGCCCTATGACATGCCATAATATTTTTTTCTGCAAATCCTACGAATCATGAATCATACAAGTTTTAGTTGATTTTACAATCATTTCATTTCTTATTCTGTAAACGCATATAGACTCTGCGTAACACGTTCTAAGAACGTTATATTATTATTATTAACTAAACTACCACAATCCTTTTCAACATCTCTTTTTATATATTTTTATATCCAACGGGTCGAGTCGTTGGTTCGAGCCCTACGGTCGTCACATGTGAATTGAGTTTGTTTGATGTGTTGTTCTCTCCTATGCTACGAGAGTTTTCTCCGGGTTCTCCGGTTTCCTCCCTCCGTAACGATCTACATGTTAGCATATCTTCAGGTGCGGATCCAGGAATTTGTTCAGGGAGGGGTGCTGCGCACAAAGTTAACCCAGGGAAGGGTGCACCCCTTAGAATCAAAGGGAAAAAACAATATTGATTATCTGACAAAGTCGAACCAGGGAGGGGTGCGCACCCCCTGCAACCCTCCCCTGGATCCGCCCCTGATCTTTGAAGCCGTGTAACCGTCATCTCATTATAAATTCAGTAACGTTATAATTATGATCTTCACTTATTCTGCGCTTGGGCTACCTGTGGTTCTGAGAATACGAAATTATAAAACAGAAACTCGGGATCGGATTTAAAAGAACGACTCATTCAAATCTTGAATCCTGATTTTTCTGAATGTGGTTTTTATTATTATTTTATATAACAACGTTCTTGCACTTATCAATTGATAAAAACAACGACAAATAATGATAAACAGCCTCCCCCTTTTATCTCTCTCTTTAGGTAATCCTGCATATTGTGACTTTGAAATCGACAGATGCCTGTGGACAACCGACCCACAAAACACTTACAGGTGGAGACGTAAAAAAGGATCCACACCCAGCGTAAAAACTGGTCCTTCTGGTGATATAACAAAAGATTTGAGCGAGACAGGTTAGAACTGTTTGATTTTACTCACCAACTCGCTTCTTATTGGCCGAGAGCCGAGAGTCCTCAGCCAATTCAAGATATCGTGTTAACTGGACATGATAAATGTAATATCTGTAGGTTTTGCTTCAGATATCAGTTACATTTATCATGTCAAGTTCATTCACATTCACATCGGAAGTACGTTAAAATTCGTTTGCTATTTCTTTAAAAGCAAAATTGCCCTGTAACACTATGACGTCACATCAAAACAATCTATTGTTTTAACGCTAAGGATCATGGTCGCCAGAGAGGGCAAAATAGCAGCAAAACGAATTAAATCACAATAAAAAATGGTTAATTAGACGGGGAAAGGTGATAACAGATAAATGTTGTACTAAATATCCCGAACGAAAGAAAATTTCTCCTTAATTCCTATCATTGTTGCCCATGTAAACAAGCTGTGCCGTCATGTTATAGGTCAAGTAAACATTTATTCTTAGTTTACGAAATGTATGGATAAAACCCTGATTTTTGAATATGGTTTTCGCATGACATGACGGCTTTGGAAGATAAGACGGCCTTATTGCCTTTACGATATCACACTCGACCTCACACCCAATAATTGTTAAATACTGAAGCTTCCATATCTCTTTAAAGAATCCTAGTTAACCAAAATGCACTACGCACCGGAAACAATTCAATGTTATGCAATGCGCCATTTTCTCATCTCGAACGATGTAAAAAATAATAAAGGATTTTGGCTAACTACGAGAATTTAAATGAAACAGAGGGTAAAATGTTTTCCTCCAAAGTTCAAAGAGTTTAAATAACTATTTTGTACGTATTCCAGTAACGGCCCTCATTTAAGTTACTGAAGGCGAATTTGATGAACTACATTACAACGCACCGAAACGGCCGTTTCTGAAATAAGTACGTGCAATGACCTTTTGACCACTGGAGGGAAAAAACATTTTAGCAGCAAAGGAACAATAACGCGGAACAAGCTTAACGACCGTTTCTTTGATTCACCGTCCTCAAACAATGTAAAGCCAAGTTCGATTGTCTAGTTAATGAAATGCTCTTCATATAAGAAATAAGACCTTCTTTAAATGTCCAATTAGACTCACTTAAAGCGAAGGTATTCATTTAGTTGAACATGTACGAAGACTCCCATGAGGATTTACAGAATTTTATGTATTCAACTTAATACTTTGCTTTACTTTTACTCTTGAAAATGACGCCGGAGGGCGTCGAAACGTTGAGTATACTAGTCTTCAATTTTATTTTAAAAATTTCAAATAGTAAGAGGGGGGATAGAATGATCCAGCCACTTTAGGTGTCCTGGTACCTAAGACCGTGAGACTGAGTGAAAGAGCAGAAATATTGATGACATCATCATTATGTATTTCAAACAATGTGGCCGCTAAATAAACCAACAAACCAGTACGTTTTCAACTTTTATTAGATCCAAGTTTTCCGCTTCTTGGCGATAGAAGACACGCTCCTTAGGGCGTAATGTTTTCCCATTTCAGACCATTGTAGAATAAGATTTCTTTGCTTGAGTGTCCATATTCATGTCTCTTCTCATGTACAACCGATGAAAAAAATTAGAAATGCATAATACACTAAAGAATGTCCGGCGCTTGGTCTTAAATGAGAGCTTTAGTCCCAATCCGAAAAGGTCTATAAAGCTGCACACCTTCTGTTGTATGACTCATTTTTTTGCCAACACAGTTCATGAAAGGCAAAAATTTATTATTGTTTAAGGTTTTTACGTCTACGCTGAGGCTTCAGGTCCAGCGCCAAGAAAGGCAACAGAGCTTCGAAGTCCGGTATTTACCGCTAATTCTGGACGATGTCTCCAGTTTGCATACCACATGTATGGATCAACCATGGGGTCATTGAAAGTCTATGTAATAGATATCCACACAGGAACAAAGAATATGATTTTTACGAAGAGCGGTAACCAGGGACAGCAGTGGTATAGGAAAAGTGTAACTGTTACAAGCCCTAATGATTATAAGGTATCATATATGTGAATTGTATATTGAACAAATGAAACAGCATTTTCCGTGCTCCGTTCAGTGATAAAGCACGCAGGAAGTAACGTAAGCACAAAAGAAGTGTAAGGAGAAGCACGAGTCGAAGGGAAATGCTTCTCGAACTTCTTGAGTGCTTGCGGCGCTTCCTAAGCACTTTATTACTGAACGGAGCACGGAAAAAGCCGTTTTATTCGTTTTATTAAATACATACTAAATTTGTTTTGGTATTGAATTTATTTGCGCAAAAAGAAAGACGGTCGCAGGATCTAGCAGCACTTCGCGCGCGCGGATGGCGTCAGCACTGTGCTCCGTTCACTAATAAAGCACAGTTTTCGACCAATCGGCGCGCACGTACTATCCTAACTATATAATAATACTTCAACAAGCAAATACTAGGGAAAAAATCCAGGCTGGATTCAAACCCGTGACATTTTCAGTGTTTGCTAGTTAGTCGCTCGAAGCAACTGTGCTAACGTATAATTATCGGAATAGATTCTTTAATCAAAAAAAATATAGATCGTTAGCAGAGTACGTAGTTTTCCATGTACCTTCTCACGGTCCACATGTACCTTTATGTATGCTAATGATTTATTTGATTGACGGCAGTGTATTACCGAATTTTCACGTCACGACAGTTGTCTCGATCAGGGCGTTTAATAAAGAGGATGTCTGCTTCAAGCATTGCGCTTCCCTTCATCTGTACTCATCTACTGCTGCGCCCCACCCGTATATGATATGTCCTGCTTGTCAAAACCACTAACCAGATTCAACATCATGTATTCTTAACATCTTACAAACAGGTCGTGTTCGAAGTCATCAAGGGAAGCGACTATGCTAGTGACGTAGCCTTGGATGATATGTTACTTGAAGATGGTGGGTGCACTGCCTAAGGCCCAACGAGTACTACCGCATGCACATTCTTGAACGGCTGGCCCTACAACTTTACTTCATAAACCGTATTACACGTGATCTTACTCACATCAGGGCCCGGTTGTACGAAGCCTGGATAGCGCTATCCGATAAATAAATCTTACTCAGTGGATAAATTTATTGCATAACAGCATCGACTTATACACTGGATAAGGATTTATACGCCGGATAGCGCTACCAAGGCTTCGTACAACTGGGCCAAGGTGATTATCATCATTAAACCTACTAATGGTATATCAAGAATCCTGTGCTCTGATTGGCTGAGGAACTAGTAGTCTATTAGTGAAAATAAAATGAATATCTATATATTGATATATCGGGTGCATTATGGGTAATTTTCAAATCAAAAATTGCTTTAATAAAGGTTAAATATAATGTTTTTGTTAAAATGTAATCATAGTGTACAGTGTGAGCACTAATATTAATTATTTGGCAGACTTTTGGTTGCGCGCAGTATGCGCGTGCAAAAAACAACAACAACGTCAACAAAACCGATGAAATGAAGGATTCTAAAAATAGAATGTTTTGTCTTAAACTTTATCATTAGCCTTTTCTTGCTTTTTTATTCCTATTCTTAACGATTGTACCTACACCTAATTGCAAGAACCTTTGTACTTTAGTGGGAAAGGAATTAACTAAAAGACAAAAGGAGGAGTTCAGCTTTAGTGATTTTCTTTGCCTTTTGATTACTTCCTGTCCCACTAAAATACAAATGTTGTATTTTCGTATAACAACGTTCTTGCTGTTAGGTGTATATAGATCAGTGCTTGTAATCAGTATTGCTGACGACGAGAGTTGAATAGACCTATCCCGAATTCGCTTGACTGACCAGGAAACAATGGTTTGAACTTGAGACTGAACTTGATTCTTTTATTCATCAAGTTCAACCTCGACTTGAAACCATTGTTTCGTGACCAGACAAGCGAATTCGGGATAGGTCTATTGCAGTCTTGGAACATGTTTAAATAAAGCGGTAGGAAGTATCGGTTGAATAGCGTTGTCTATTAAACTTATAGCAAGTTTGCTATTAATGAGACCTTTTGGAAAAATAGAATCATTAATATTCAGATTCTAAAAATAGCATAAAAGAGTGCTCAGATCAATTCCTCTTTCCAACATTCAGTACTTCTGTTAAATGTCAAATTTCTGGATGCCTTAGTTTTGAACACCATCAATGAACCTTCAAATTCATCGGTACTTTGAAAGAGTCTCTTGGCTGATCAGAGGGTTCATTGTAGGTCATTGTAGGTCATTGTGGGTCATTGTGGGTCATTGTAGGTCATTGTAGGTCATTATTGTAGGTCATTGTAGGTCATTGTGGGTCATTGTAGGTCATTCTTAGTTTTAGTAACTACGGTCAGATAGCTGAGATAACGACCTTCAATAAATAAAGCTTAATTATTGTCATTATTATTACTATTATTGTTTTTATGCAAATCTTATCTTTCTCTCTTAAAAACACATGTAAATAAATAGCCAGAAACACTTTGGGAACCCGTACTTACTAAAAGGCGCAATGAGCTACAATGA